CTACCGTAACTCAGATATACTACTCCAGGGTATATAACAAAATGATTCCATGCCCCACCACAGAGATTCTTGCACACTCATGTTTACTGCTGCATTAGTCACAATTCCAAGAAAATGGATTCACGAATGGATAATGAAATTGAGGTGCCTATACACAATGGATTGCTAGAGGTAAACACAAATGAAATTTGCACTAAAGTGAATCATGTTGGAAAATACTACATTAAGCCAGGTAACTCAGAAAGACAAAAAAAATAGAATACCCTATCATATGCAGATCCTAACATGCAATGTTTATATGAGTGGCTCTAAGTGGATATGTGTGCACAGGAGATCATGAGAGGATAAGAAGAAGAGTTGAGGAAGTGGTGGAGGGCAATAGGGCACTATGACATGAAATGAGAAAGGAGGCTACAAAAGGGTTGGAAGGGGAGGGAAAGGTCAGGGGATGGAGGAGAAGAGGTTGATAGGAGAATTAACAAAAATAATTTCTAAATGTCAAAATGAGACCAGATACTATGTATGCTCATTTTAAAATCCTAAAACAAAATAAATATAAATTTAAAAATAATATATGACCTAAATTTATAGTTCTTTGTGAGAGGAAAATAATTCATCAAAAGTAACATGCCTGAAACATAGTTTCTATTATCAGTTTTTATTCAGTTACTAGAAGTCTTAGGGATTTTTTTTCTAATCCCCATCTCTCAGTCTCTACCTGCAAACTCTCTAAATGCTGCCTGTCTGTTTCATGAACAGTTTTTAGATCCATCTTATATATAATCTCCATGACTTAATTTTAAGTCATTATCCCATCCCATCTGGATTGGTCTCTCCTGCTGAATTGCTTTGACATGAGCCGCCACTGCATTCTTCCCAACGCTGTGTATCTTTCAGTATGGCTTACAAGGGTCTCCACTTACCACCTCCTTAACTGGAAGGTGTATCTATTGTCTACAGCAGCTGCAACAGATTATAATGACTTCAGTGGTTTAAAGCCATTCATTTATTAGCTCATAGAGCTGTTGGCCTGAGGTCTAACCAGTGTGGCTGAATTCTCTGTTCAGGGTGCCACAAGCTGTTGTGTGCACTGAAATTCCAGGAAGGACTTAAAGTCCCTGGTACTTCACTGGCTGCCATAGGGTGACTGCTCTCAGCTATAAATAAGTTCCAGTTCCTTGTTCTGTGTCCACCTCCAATCTCTAGCTTGTAACAGTGGTTGTTGTTTTTTCCCGGGGTTCCCTCTCTTTAAGCCATCAATAGTTTGTTGAGGAGTTAGAGAGATGGCTCAGCAGTCAAGAGTGCTTATTACTCTTATAGAGGACCAGAGTTCATTTCTCAGCAGCTACACTCACAACTGCCTGTAACTCCAGCTCGGAGACACAACACCTTCTAGCCTCCACAGGCATCCACATACATATGAGATATACACATAGAGACACACACAAAGCACATAAGTAAAAATTTTAAAATCCATATGTAAAACCATTAATGTACTGAATTGGGCATGGTAGCTGTCTTAGTTAGGTTTCTGTCGCTATGCTAAAACACCATGACCAAAACAACTTGGGAAGGAAAGGGTTTATTTGGCTTGCACTTCCACAGCACAGTTCATTGTCAAAGAAAGTCAGAAACTCAAAGCAGGAGTCTGAACACATAATTGTACTGGAGGCCATAGAAGAATGTTACTTAACTGGCTTGATCCCCCATGGTTTGCTTAACCTACTTTCTTATACATCCCAGGACCACCTTCCCAGGGGTGGTAGCACAGTAGGCTGGATTCTCCCATATTAATCATTAAGCAAGAAAATACCTGATAGACTTGACTACAGGCAATCTGATGAAAGCACATTCTCAATAGAGTTCCTCTTCCCAGATAACTCTAGCTTATGGTAAAGTGGACAAAACAAAAACAAAACAAACCACAAAATCAAAAATTAGGACATTGATGCAGTCCTGCAATTCCAGCACTGGGGCAGGAAGATCAGGAGTTCAAAGTCATCCTCAGCTACATAGTGAGATCCAGGACAGCCTGAGCTACCTAAGACCCTATTTTGACTTCAAGTATCTGATTTTTGCTGCTGTCTGTTCAGTCAGGGAAAACTCTTGGCTGTTAAAGAACCTGTATGATTTGACTAGGACTGACTAGGACTAGCAACTAACTAGTGACATTGATTCCACCTGCAAAATCTCTGTTCTCACATAATGTAATCATATAGCTACCTCACTGTACTCACCAATACAAATAGACTCTAGAGGTGATTACACAAGGATGGACATGATTAGAGATCACCCTCCAAGAGAGTCAGGAAAACAGGTTTTCAGATAGCTACTCTAGATGATATCAGATAGATGGGTATCAAAGGAAAAGAGGACCCTCCAGAAAGCATATGCAAAATCCACATGACTAGGAAATGCATAGGAAAAGGTGGGAGGGAGCACTTAAGGAGGCCATTGTGTGTTCATCAGAGGGAACAAAAACTAGAGAATCACAGTAGAAACCAGGTCATGCAGGCTTCATAGATCTGATTCCCTCTCTCCTAAAAGCAAAGATTAGTAAGTTAGCATAACTCAAATGGTATTCTGAACATAGAACTCTGGCCATAAGGTAGAGGATTGGATGAAGAGAGGCACCAGCAAAGTGTGGTATTTGTCCTAGGAGCCTGGAATTGTAGCACAAGAGACTGCTGATAATAAACAGATTTGTTCAGTAGCTAAAATCAGCAGGACTTTGTGATTGTTTGAATGTGGGAGCAATGTAGCTCTACTCTCCAGGAAACAGACTCTAAAACAGAGATTACTATGAAGGATGTTTACTAAGAAATACTCTCGAAGTCAACACCTGTGCAAGAGAGCATGAAAATAGAACTGGGCAATGGGAGAGGCTGAGCAGTAATCCAGACCCGACAGAACCCTCAGCCAGCCTGGGGGGGGGGGGGTGGAGTGTTGTGAACAGATTGTCCTTTGGTGGGATGAGGAAACCAGGGCTATTTCCTCTGTGCTGATCAGTCAGTGGATGCATCACACCCCAGGAAGAATTGGTGATGCTGAAGGAGCCGTACTCTGCTCTGACAACTTCTGGAGGAGACTGGTACTTGAGCACTGTCTTCTAGGCAATGAATTCTTTATTTTTGAAGAGTCTGGACTTTGTGTCACAAGGTCCATTTCAGGGGTAGAGGAGCATAGAGGAGTAAGAATGAGTCTTAGGTTTCCTTCTTTATTTTTATTTTATGTGTATGTGTGTTTTGTCTACACATATTTATGTATACCACATGAGTGCCTGATGCCCACAAAGTCCAGAACAGAGCAATGGATCTGTTGGAAGTGGAGCTGAGAATCATCAAATGTGTCCTGGAAACCAAACCCAGGTCCTCTGCAAAAATAGAAAATGCTCTGCAGCCCTAATTCCTAAATTTTCAATTTGTGTATCTTAATGTTTGTGTGTAGGGTTGCAATCTTTGGCTTATTTGGTAAAATCCCCACTATAGTGGGAGCTCTTCCGGGACTGATTGGCCTCATGGGAAAATGGCGCACAATCCCATAACTGATTGCCGCATGCACAGTTTTCTGGATACGTGAATGCAATCTACATCTATTTCCATCCTTCTCTCCCCCTGCACTTCCTTTGTCCCTTTGTTCCTTAATGCTACCGTCATCAAATGTGGGAAAAGTTCATTGGATTATCAGAGATACCACCTGTGCTGGAGCTGAACAAACAGCACATCAAGTTCCTCTGATGCCAGGTTCTCTCAGAAGAGCAAGGGAGACAGTGGAGCAGGATGGAGCGGGTGATGACGTCCCAGGCTTTTAAGCCTCCCTCCAGTGCTTCAGCCCTTATAAATTCAGTGCTACCTGGTCAAGTCCTTTCCAAAACAGGCAAAGGATACTAGCCCTCGATTCCCCATATATCCAGACTTTGCCTAACTCTAATCCCCTCTTCTGCCGCTACTTCTGACAGCCACTTTGGGGGCCCAAAAGATTTTTTACCTCATACTGGCATTTCTTGGGAATGGAAGAGAATGAAAGAAATAAGAGTGAAAAAGTAGGGGAGGTCCGTCCTGCCTGAGCCCACTTCAGTCTTGTACTCCACATGTGCCTTCTGCTTTGTTCCCTCCACTACATCCCCATGACCCAGTCTTTTTCCGGCCCCCTCTCGTGGGAACCAGCACCCAACACCGGTGCTGCACCTGTGCTGAGGGCAAACAGGGAACGCCAGCGTTTCGGGTGCTGATGGGCGCTGCCTAGAGACAAGGGAGATGACCGAGCTGCCTGCTCCCCATCTTTCACCTGGGTCGGGACCAGGACTAGAATCTTACTACACCTCAATTCGGTTCATTTAGGACAGTTCTCACATCCATACCCAGCTGTTACTCTAATTCGAGGCAGCCTTTTTCCTTGTACTATTTCGGTTGTGAGCAACTGCAGCGATCTTAAATCCTCTTGGAGCAGAAGCCTGGGTTTGGGGTTTCAATAAGAGGTGGGGTGTGTTGAGGCAGAAGCTAGGACTAACCCTGCCCTCACAAGAAAGCTGCAGAGAGAATAGTGAGGTGATTCTGTGATGATTACTGCGTCCATTGCTCCACTGCGGCAGAGCACGGTAACTGCGGCTCCAGGCCGGCTAAGGAACCTGCACTGTAGTGGGGGACCCTGGAACAAAAACCAGATCACCACTGCCACTTCAACATCTCCGAAACCACCAAAGAAAGGCGCTGGACTCCACAGCAGTAACTACTCACTCCTCTCGTCATACGGTACACACCACACGCGCGCGCGCGCGCACACACACACACACACACACACACCACACACCACACACACACACACACGAATTTCTAGAACTAGAGGCAGTGGTATGAGAGGTGGGCAGGAAAGACATCTCTAAGAGAAAAACGGAGAACCTAGCTCGGGAGCGAGCCTGGAGAGCAGTCACCCAGGAGCGCGCGCGGAACTCTGGAGCAGGGAGGCGCGCCAAGAGTCACCTGGTGGGACAAAAGCCGGCTAGAGCCTGGGACCGGCTGGAGCCAAGGCCAGGCTGGCGGAGGAGTGGAGGGGTAGGAGACACGGCAGGGGGCGGGAACCAAGAGGGGCGGGCAATGTGGTGGGCGGGAGCCTGAACCACCAGCGCTTCGGGAGCAGGTGGAACCGGGGCTGTAGCCCACTTGGAGGAGCTGAGTAGGACTTCTGGGGACCATGGAGCTGCTCAAGCTGAACCACAGTATCCAAGGACCGGGGCCAGGGCCGGGGTCCTCCTTGTGCCGCCCGGGTGTCCCCCTCCTCAATGGCAGCAACGCGGGCAATCTCAGCTGCGAGCCCCCTCGCATCCGCGGAACCGGGACCAGAGGTGGGTGCCTCCCTAAGCCCTTCTCACTGCAACCCATAGCACTAATGGATAGCCCTCAGGACCTCTACACTGTCAACTATCCATTGCTTTCCCTTGTAGTACTTCCTTGCCTTCCACACAGATCCCTCCCCTCCACTCACTGTGTCCCCAGGCTCTCATAACTCCATCACACCTTCACACCATCTGGTTCAGAGCCCCTAGCCTCACACTACCTCTGCCCTACCTATGACTTTTGATCATCCCCAAGCTCAGCGCCACACAGCTGGGAAGCAAGGACCTCTTCTTGCCAGCAGGTCTAGCTCTTTTCCTTTAACATCCAGTTCACAGAGCCAACACTGAAGAGACAGGGGCCAGAAAAAGAAAAGCAAGGGGGGGGGGGGGCAGTGAGGACAGGAGCTCTCAGGACTGCCTGTATAGGAGATTGAAGTTGTAATCTGTCTCCCACCCTACCTCACCCAGCCTTCCCAAGAAAAGATTCCCAAAGCTGAGTTTAGCCAGCAGGAGGGAATGCTGCCTGCCACCTTCCCCAAATTCCAGAGTCAAGTCCTTTGTCTATCTCCGTGCCTCTTCTGTTTTTCTGAAGGTTTCCAAGTCCTTTCCAAAGCCCCCCATGTTCCTCTTTTCTTATGTCTTCCTTTCCTAGAGCCAACTTCCCCTTGCATCAGACACCCTATCCCTGTGTGCCACCACCTTCTCTCCCCACTGCTTTCACTCATCCTGTCTTCAAAGTGACTCTCCCTCCTCCCATCAGCTAACATCTTCATTGCTTCGCTGCTGAACGTCTTAAACTGCATTCCCCCCTTCCTATACCCATATTTACTTCCGATGCTTAATGAATACTTGCTAGGCTAAACGCTGAAGACACTGAAATGAACTAGACATGGCCTGCAGTCTCATCAGTCTGCAGCCAAGTACACAAGGGCAAAGACCATTGGGAAAATCACAACCTGTAAGTCCCACAAAAGGGTCTGATAGAATATGGACACCCAAAGGAGATGGGAGTCTGATAACTTCACTAAGGGTGCGACCTGGGAGAGTAGATTCTGTAAACAGAAAGGGAAAGAGTTGGATTCTGTGTTCAAGGAGTAAACGTTGGAATAAATTATAATCTACATATTTACTTACCCCATAAAACAACCCATGCTTTCTCAGTTTGGCTGTTACCCACCAACACTTAGATTCTTTCATTCGGGAAATATTTGTTGAACCAGAAACTTTGCTAGGCAACAAGGATATGAGTTTAGTAAAACTGACACAATCCTCTCTCGTGGCGCTCTGAGTTTGTAGGGGAAACAGACAAGCAAGTAATGGCAGCACAAAGAGGAGAAAGATAGTTAATATACAAGGGGAACACCTCCAGCCTGCCCTCCCCTTGGAAATTAAGACTGCCTTTCTGATAAATGTTGAAACAGAAAAATACGACAGATGGGGAGCTAAGTGAAGAGAAAAAGAGGCATAAAGTGTCTTAGGCAAAGATGCACTGTCTAAAAAGGCTCAAAGTTTAAGCCCTTGGCATATTTGTTCATCACAACTAGTTTTTGAATGGCTGGAATATGTACCATTAAAGGTACGTAATCAACACTTGTGCTGGACCAGCCTAGAGTATTTATGGTGAGATTTATAGCCCTTTCAAAAGAATATAGATTTTATCCTGAGCATTAGGATTCACTGAAGGATTCAGTAGTGCGGCCAGGGTTAGTTGTGTTGTGTCAAAAATGGATGGGCAGATGAGATGAACTGCAGAAGGATACTTTAGAAAGCTATTACATTACACAGATCTGGCTGAAAGATGATGCTAGCATAGACAGAGGTACTGGCAGAGGGGATGAAGAGAAGTGGATGGATCTGAGAGCCACTTCTGGAAATGGAATCAACAGAACCTGATGATTGATTAGAAGTGGAGAGGGTGGATGAGGTCAAGGGATGAAATTCAGTTTCTGGTTTGGGAAATGGAAAGGACATATCATAAAAAAGATAATCAAGGAGGGGCTGGATATGCACTTCCTATTAGAGCATTTGCCTAGCTACTGCAAGGCCCTGGATTCAGTCCCCAGCAACAAAGGAGCAAAAGCAGTTTTGAAAGAGGAGATAACCATAAACTCAGTTTGGAACCCATGGAGTTCAAATACTGATGGCTAATTCCTCAAAGCTGTTGAATCCAGAGATCTAGAACTTACCTTGGAGGGCCGAGCTGGAAATATAGACTTCAAAAGTCTTCATCTATAGAAAGTACAAGAACTCATAAGAAAAGGGAAAAAAATCTGTTTTTAAGCACTGTTTTTAAGCTGTGATAGGGTCCTACAGAAGGCTGGTATTGAAAAGAAAAGCAAAGGGGGGACATTCCATAAAGAAATTGAAATGAACAGAAATAGTAGGTGTGTCTTTGCAGAAAGGAGAGGAGAGTCTTGACTGAGGTGGAATAAGTGATGCCAAATATTGCCCTGACTAGTCAGAGATGGACAAAACAGCAACTGGTGTTACTTAGACACAACAACTAGTTCATAGGAGGGTATGTGGGTACTGAGACCTGACTCGGAAGGTGGAATATTGGACCACAAGAAAGGTTGCAAGATGTGGACAAGAGTAGTTAGGCAAAATGTCCAAGGAGTAGGGGTGTTGGGAGAAGAAAAATAGAACAATGGTAGAAATTTTATGGGGTTGAGGAAGAGTAGGCTGTAGCAGGGAATTGTGCCCCCACCCTTTGGAACAGGGTGTTTGGAAACAGCTTGTTGCCCAAGCTGATCTCAAAATGGTGGTTTCAAAACCTTTTTCTGCATTAGCCCTTTGAGTAGCAAGAACTACAGATTTGCTACATCCTGGGTATTTAAAAGCAGGCAAGAATCAGGAGAGATATTTAAAGGTTTGATGCCAAGGAGGGCAGCTGGTAAAGGGGAGGTCCCTGAAGAAACAAGGTGTTCAGTGATTCAGAGTCCAAGTGCAAAGACAGGTTCATTTATCTGGATGCTGTTGCTTGGACACACCACATTGTTATCCAGATGCCTAGACATCATGTACAAAGAGTGTTGGCCAGTCTCACTGGAATAGTACCCCACAGATGCATTATCACCTGGGCTCATAGCACCCCACAGATGCATATGCCACCTGGGCTCACAGTGCCCTATAAATGCATGTATCACTTAGGTTCATGGTACCCACCTTACAGATGCATCTGTCACCTGGACTCACTACAACATTACCAAGAGATATTGGGATGCTGTCCACTTGTGGTTTTAGACAAACCTGTGACTTTATCATTAGCTCAGATGCTGTCCATATTCAAATGGGTGACACCCACACATTAGTACTGTCCATAGTAATTTTGAGGTTATTTGTCACATTCTACTCATTTTATAATTACCTACAAAAAATATCACATCTTCCCCATGATTGCTTAAGTAAACCTTCTCTGGATATTACCCAGAAAGTCATGCAGTGTCATTCTTTTTTTTTTTTTTTTTTTTTTTTTTTTGGATTTTTTAAATTTAATTTTATATAACAAAGTCCAATTAAATGAAAACAAACATTTATACACAATATTTGGGAATTTGGGTGTCGTTCTTTCCAAACTACTTCCTGCTGGTAAGGGGCGCTGTCTTGGGGGATTCTAAGAAGATTCAGATATCCTGGCTGTAGTCTGTAGGGCTGTTTTGTCCAGCTGTTTTGAATGTAGGATCAGCTTGTGCATGCAGTGTCATTCTTAAGCACTCAGATATTTTCAGCAAAGATGCAGAGAGTCTGTATGTTCACTCAGGTTCTCAGCTATTTCACACAGTCAAGATTAACATCTTAACTGAGCTAAATGTGTTAACGTCTGACGTTTATACTCACTTCAATAGTGCCCACACAACTTGGATATTACTACCACCCCCTCAATGAGAACCACCATCATCTGATCATCTCCCATTCACATACAGATCTCTGCATACTTCCTGAAGATGTCACCCACAAACTGAAATGTTATTTGGTTTGAGTTACTGTCCTTGCTTACTCCAACTTCATCACAGTACCCTGGTATTCTTTAAACTTAAACAAAGCCTATCTTCAATCTGATATCGCCTTTACACATGTAGATGTTACCTTTCTCCAGCTATCTCCCAAAGAAACAAGGGCTACCTTTACCGGCCTCTATATCATTCTCAAACCCTAAAGCATTACTGTGTTCTGCTGTTTTCAATTCACCATTGCACGTTACCACTGCTTCCTTGCTCAGTACCACTGACACTTGGATGTCTCCTGATAGGAGATGCCATCCTTATTTAACCGCAATAGTCTCCCATGCACCAGCTATTTCCTTAGTTGGTTGAACACCACCCTTGCTCACCACAGAGAGATATACATGAGTATTACACTGGCATCTCTGTCCATGAGTAACCAGATGCAGCACACTAGGTGAAGACACTGGCTGCTTCAGTTCCTGTGACTTTTTTGTTTGAAAATCCTGTTTGCTTTTGTTATGTTGATAGGCTATTGTGTACCCTAGGCTGGTCTTGAACTCCTGATCCCCTGCCTCCAATCTCTGGGATTACAAGCATGTGCCACCACATCTGGTTTAAAGGGTACCAGGGATCAAACCCTGGGCTTTGTGCATGCTTGGTAAACACGTAGCAACTGAGCCACATCCTCAGCTTAAGTCTGTCCTTTGTTTCAGATGTTGTCTGGATCCTTATGCTTATGCTTCTCTGTCATCATCTAGACAATCACACACACACACACACACACACACACACACACACACACACACACCCCTGTATGCTCACACACTAACATGCTCACATGCTCATATACTAATGAACACACATATTTATAATCTCACATACTCTTCCACAATGTACACTCACTTTACATGTTCACATACATTTGCTATACAATTGTTTACCATACTGTGGTTTTAACCTCTTGTTTCCAGAAAAATCCAAGCATATTAAGAATTTCATAAAGGGGAAGCCTGGTTTCATCTTTTTGGGCTACCACTAGCTAAGTTCAACGGCACACATATGGTGTGTATCAATTGCATGAATGTGTGAGACACAGTTTTTAAGTATTTGTATAGTTCAAAGTGCTGAACAACCTGAAGTGTAGTGATTACACTAAGAATTAGTTGAAGAGAGGTCCAGAGGATGCTTCGAGAAAGATGAGGGAGCTAAAGATGTCAAGGTGGGTAGACACAGAAGAAAGTAGACTTTGAGAAAATGAGTACAATAGAGAACACCTGCTTTTTTTCCCTCCTGGGTCCAAGGGCCTCTCTGACAAAGATCTTTCTTCCAGAGTTTATTTATTATTCCTACACACACACACACACACACACACACACACACACACACGCACCTGTCATGCATTTCAAATTTGTCACACATAAGTCTTCCATAATCTGTCCCTTTGAAAAGAGCATAGTTTGAGCCAGCTGTGATGGCATACACCTGTAATCCTAGAACTCAGAAGGAAGAGGCAGTAGGATCTCTGTGAATTCATGGCCAGCCTGATCTGCATAGGGAACTCCTGGACAGCCAGGACTACATAAAGAGATCCTGTAAAGAAGGAGAGGAAGAAGAAAAAGAAGGAGGAGGAGGAAGAAGGGAGGAGGAAGTGGGAGGAGGAGGAAGAGGAAGGAGAAAAGAAAGGAAGATAGGAGCTTGAAAAACAAACATACAAAAACAAGAATACTGCATCAAAATCAGCCTGCCATCTGCTACTGGCCCTTCAAGACCCTCCAATGTGTGTCTTCTAAAATGTACAGGTAGAAAAGAGAGGAACAATAGAGTGAGGTGCCATGATGGAATATAGAGACAGGGGCAAAGAGGAATTTAGATTGAGACTTGATTAGGAGAAGAAAGAAGTAGTGTAATGACTGGGCCCTTAGGCAGCTGTAAGAGGCCAAACATTTCAGGCATCCTGAGGTCTAAGTAAGCAATGCTACTGTTAAGTCTCATTGGAAAATGCTTTTTTAAAGATTTATTTCATTATCATCACCAACAGCAGTAGTAGTAGTGAAGTGTGTGTGTGTGTGTGTGTGTGTGTGTGTGTGTGTGTGTGTAATCATGCATGCAAAATAGGGCATCGGGTTTCCAATATCCAAGATCTGGAATTACAGTTGTGAGCCAACCAACATAGAAATGCTCTACAGCTAAGCCTGCTCTCCGGCCCCTGTTTGAAGATTTCTAATAAATAGAACTCATTTATTATCTAACAAATAGAGCAACTTCTAAATAAGCTAGTTATCATTATGATGCAGCAATACAGTTTGGAAATTAAGCCAAGAGTCAGCTAAGAGAATGGAGCTAAGCCATTAAAGGATTAGAAGGCTGTACCTCTAGACCCCTCCTACCCACACAGTGTAGGCGGCTTCCTATCTTCAAACTCCCATCTCCATAACACTGAAGCCATAGGTAAGGATGACTCAGTCCACTTCAACTCAATACAGTTTTGTTCAGGTTTGCATGTTTATGATACAAAGGTCCAAAGATGAATATATCTCCCAATAGATAATGATACAAATGAATTGGTCACCGTCCTAGCCCTTCTGACTCACCGGGCAACAGTGGTTCCCTCCTGGGGCTCCCACAGCCTCTTATACCTCTCTCAACCTCACTTATCATACTGTGTGGCAATTATCTGTGCAAGCATCTCAGATTCCCTCTTTACTATAAGCTCTCAAATGGCAGGGAGTTTGTCAGTCACCTTTTTGTCCTCAGTGCCTGACATAACGGGAATCCTCTGAAAGTGTTTACAAAGTAAGAATGAATGTTTGGAGAATATTAAAGCACAACTCAGAGAGAAAAGGGGGGAGTTCTAATAAGTATTAGGGAACATGGGACATGCATGGGTCAAAGGAATGGGGGATTAGTTTCAAATGAGGTGCTCAAGATAGCCTTTTCAAAGCAGTGGCAATCAATCTGATTCTTGATAGATGAGGGATTTATAGGTGTTTACCAGATTGAGGAAATATTTGGGGGTTTATGAAAGAGTATTCATTCTAAGGATGAGAAATCAACTTAAGAAAAGAGCCACGAGTGCTAATGATGCATTCAAGAAACTGAGTCATCAAGTGGCTTGAGGGGGTGCAGCACTGAGAGGTGACAGTCCTGGAGGAGGGGGTTGTAGATAGTACAGAATGATGAATGGCTTTTTCTTCTTTTAGTTGGGGAGGGGTGGTTTTGTTTTGCATCTGTTTGTTTCTTTAGAGAACACAAATATGATCCAACATGGTTGTGAGGGGAGTGGGTGGTCAAGGGTTCATGAAGTATGATGGAATGGTCAGAGAAGGAACCTTTCAATCTGGTATCTACAGATTAGTGATCTTGAGAAGTATCCAACCAGTGATGGGGATAGGTCCCTAAAGTGTTTGCAAAGAAAAGTAAGCATGGAACCAACCATAAGGAGAGACAGAATTCTAAGGAATGGTAGTGTTGGCAAGCTCAAATAAGCCTCAGCATTTATGAGGCTTACTGCCATAGTTTACTATATAGTCCCTTAGGGTAAGAGAGAGTATTCTCAGGGTGTCAGGATCTAACTGGATATTATGGCTTGGGGATGAAGTGGAAATAGGAGTCTGGATGAATGGTGTTCAAATCCTTCTACAGCCAGCTGCCTCTCTTTTCTGCCTAGAGTTAGAGCTGGCCATCAGAGTCACCCTTTACGCTGTGATCTTTCTGATGAGTGTCGGAGGAAATATACTCATCATTGTGGTCCTGGGACTGAGCCGGCGCCTGAGAACTGTCACCAATGCCTTCCTGCTCTCCCTGGCAGTCAGTGACCTCCTGCTGGCTGTGGCTTGCATGCCCTTCACACTCCTGCCCAACCTCATGGGCACGTTCATCTTCGGCCCAGTCATTTGCAAGGCTGTTTCCTACCTCATGGGTAGGTGAGACAAATACATCTCCCTCTTGGTCCTCTCCCTTCTTAGAGTACTTGACAAATATAAAGGTTTTCCCTGATGGGGGTTGAGGAAATCGTACTGGTGAACATGCAGAGTGCTTGTTTCCAAGGTGACCATTTCCTCTCACCTTGCTTAGGAGTATCAGTGAGTGTGTCAACTCTAAATCTCATGGCCATTGCCCTGGAGCGGTACAGCGCCATCTGCAGACCACTGCAAGCACGAGTGTGGCAGACACGCTCCCATGCAGCTCGGGTGATCTTAGCCACGTGGCTACTGTCTGGACTGCTTATGGTACCTTATCCTGTGTACACCGCGGTACAGCCAGTGGGCCCTCGAGTCCTGCAGTGTGTGCATCGCTGGCCCAGCGCACGTGTCCGCCAAACCTGGTGAGGGCACCCACCAACCTATCTTAGGAAGTCCTTTTCCCATCTTCATCAGATGCTTACACCCCTTCACCAGAGTAGTCTTCCAGCTCCGCCAAGAATTTCCCCTCTAAACCCCATTCTGCACCCCCACATTTGGGATTCCCAATTTGGGGCCTCTTGCCAGCGTCATCTCCCAACCCTACCCTTGCCTTGGCCATCTGGCCACAGTCCAGTTTTTGCCTCTTCCTCTTTCTGTAACTGTCTGCATGGGAGACGGTGAGTGGTCTGTATTATGTCTACAGGTCAGTGCTGCTGCTAATGCTCTTGTTCTTCATCCCGGGAGTGGTTATGGCGGTGGCCTATGGTCTCATCTCTCGTGAGCTCTACCTTGGGCTTCGCTTTGATGGTGATGACGGTGAGACCCAAAGCCGGGTCCGAAACCAAGGAAGCCTGCCCGGTGGGGCAGCACCAGGTAAGTGAAATGCACGAAGGCAGAACTTTGGCAGTGGACATGACCTCCTTGGTGGGTGGATCTGAAAGAAGTGTAGAAAGGAGGCGGGAGCCCAGGGTCAAAGCTGCAGGGAAGGGACATCGAGTGGAGGTTGAACTGAGATTTAAGAGGAGTCTGCCTTCTGCTTTGATCGCACCCTTTGTGTTTTGTGTTCAGGGCCTGTCCACCAAAACGGGGGTTGCCGGCCTGAGACTAGCCTGGCTGGGGAAGACAGTGATGGCTGCTACGTGCAACTTCCACGTTCCCGACTGGAGATGACAGCTCTGACCACGCCCACTCCTGGGTCAGACCCTGGCCCTCGACCCAACCAAGCCAAGCTACTGGCTAAAAAACGAGTGGTGCGAATGCTGCTGGTGATTGTTATGCTTTTCTTCTTGTGTTGGCTGCCAGTGTACAGTGCCAACACGTGGCGCGCCTTCGATGGCCCAGGGGCACACAGAGCACTCTCAGGGGCCCCTATCTCTTTCATTCACTTGCTGAGTTACGTCTCTGCCTGTGTCAACCCCCTGGTCTACTGTTTCATGCACCGCCGCTTTCGCCAGGCCTGCCTGGACACATGCGCCCGATGTTGCCCACGGCCTCCACGAGCTCGCCCCCGGCCTCTTCCAGATGAGGATCCTCCTACTCCCTCCATTGCTTCACTGTCCAGGCTAAGCTATACCACCATCAGCACACTGGGACCTGGCTGAGGGGCTGAGGGAGTGGAGAGTGAGACAAGACACATGATCCCTATCAACTGACCTATCCAAACACATATGAAACACACCAGGACCAGTCCAGGTGGACATCCAACAGCATGGATAGACCCCTACACAGAGAAAATGTTACCTTTGCTGCTCCACCTGAAACAGATAATCTCATATAGGAAAGAAGGCACACTTCTAATATGGGACAAGTCCCACCCTAGGCATGTGGAACTGACTGCACTGGATAGACAACCACAATGTCTGTAGCAGTGAATTTCCCCACACATCGGGAGCTCTCACAAGGGCTGACTGGCTCCTCATATATATACATTTATGGCACTATTCTGTAGTGTGTATAGCCTAATGTGGGACTGACTAAAGACATTGCAGACTGTCCCCATTTTGACCTCATCATTCCCTTCCTCATCCAGTATAGAAAATGTCAATAGGCTTAATCACACACCTTCCCAACGTGCAGACCTTTCAGCAATGAAAAGTCCTCTCATCTCTTTCCATTAGGGACTCTGGCCCTGCCCTTCTTCCTTCACCAGACCACCTCATAAAATAATAAATGACTTAGTGTCCTCTTGGACTTTCTGAACTTTGGGAGGTAAGTGAGCAAATGTGGGTTATGTAAAGGCTTCTTCATCTGTTTTCTCCTATAACTATTCAACCAACCCTGTGTCCAACCTTGTGCAAAAATGTCTTGGTATGAGGATAGACATAGATGGGTATATCCTTACATGATTCTTATCTTGGACATACCCATATTCCAGTGATGTTACTGGGATTCAACATGGCAGGTGGGATATCCACCACACTTCATGATTCCTGAGTACATTCTCCCATTTGGTACCATTGTTGAAGAATTATATTAATGGATACTTGTTAATTTTGAGGAAAAGATAAAAGATGAAAGACTACATAAGACTTAGATTATTCAATGTGTGTTTGAAACACAGAGAATCGGACTAAGGCAGGTACATAGAAGTTAATTGAAGAGTGGGGGTCTTTTATTACATACTTGACCTCCTTTAGTTTCAGAAACTGGCCAAGATACAGTTGAATAGAAGTGCCTTCACTACATGTAGTAACAAAGAGACCTGGGGGGTGACAGAATGGAGTATAAGACTGAAGGTCAGTGTGAGTCTCAGAGCCCAGCTTCCCTTTTGACCATAAAACTCATGTAGCCCCAAAGAAAGACAGAGACCAGCAACATCATTTCACACACACACACACACACACACACACACAGAGAGAGAGAGAGAGAGAGAGAGAGAGAGAGAGAGAGAGAGAGAGAGAGCAACAAGCAGATGAGGAATGGAAGGAAAGGATAGACAAGAATAGTCAGAAGCAAAGCAAAGTATTGAGAGAAGAAAGATTCTTGGTGCTTTATCTGGCAATAAATAGGGGAAATAGACTGTTTTAGAGTTATTGGGGCTGTGATGAAACACCATGGCCAAAAGCAAATTGGGAAGGAAAAGGTTTATTTAGCTTACACTTCCACTTCATAGTTCATTATTGAAGGGAATCAGGGCAGGAGTTCAAACTGGAACCTGGAGGTAGGAGCTGCTGCTGAGGATAAGGGGTACTGTTAACTGGCTTGCTCAACATGGCTTGCTCAACTTGTCTTGCTCAGCTTGCTTTCTTATAGAACCCAGGACCACCAGGGATGGCACCACTGACAATGAACTGAGCCTTCCCCCATCAATCACTAGTTAAGAAAATGCCTGACAGGCTTGCCTATAGCCAGATCTTATGAAGGCATTTTCTTTTATTTTTTAACTTTCTTTTTTATTTATTCTTTGTGTCTTTTACATCATGCATCTTGATCCTATTCCTTTCCCTGCCCCTTCATAGACACCCTCTGCCCTTGCAACACCCCCAAAATAAAATAAAATTTAAGAGAAAGAAAAAAAAATCTCATCATGGAAGTTGTAGTGTGACACAGTGAGTCATACAGTAAGCTCTTTTGTCCATATATCTTTATTTGCAAGTGTCATCATAAAGAGACATTGATCTGGTTCAAGGCCTCTAGTTTCTGCTATACTATCAATGTTGGGCCCTCACTGGGACTCCTCTTGGATATCCTGTTGTTGCCCTCTGTCATGAATATCCTGCAACTTTGGGACTGTAGGACTGGCCCCTTCACATGCTTCCACAGATCATAGATGGGGTAGATGATGGAGTGGCCAACTCATAACACTTGTTCTGGGCCTAAGTAGTTACAGGCTAAGTCAGCCTGCCAGCTCTTCATTGTCCTCACCACCAGGGTGACCTCTCCTGCATTGCCCTAGCTAGTTCACCCCTTGCAACAATGAGCAAGGAGTGGGGTCAGTTCTCCTATTTTCATGCCCACAGAGACATTTTCTTAATTAAGGTTCTCTCCTCTCAGATGACTTTAGCTTATATCCAGTTGAAATAAAACTGTCCAGCACAGAGACCTACACACACACACACAGACACACAGCCAACTGTCTTATAATAATTTAAAGGAAAATGGAAATAATTTTAGTGAACCAGCCCTAGCTCAGCAGGCAAAAGTACTTGCTGCTCGGAGTGACAGCCCTGGGTCCATTGATGGAAAGAGAGAATTGACTCCTGAAAGTTGATCTCTGAGCTCTACTTGTATACTGTGGCATGTGTGTCTGCACTCACACATATACTACGCACACACACATAGTAACAATAAGAAATGACAGCTAATGGCTCCACGGCTAGAGTTTGGACTCTCATGAGCTCCTTTCCTCTCCATGCTGAGTGTTGAGATAGGGAAGTTTGGTGGTAAATATGATCTAAATACATAGCATTTGTGTAGGAAATTGCCAAAGAATAAATTTTAAGAATTTAAGATGAAAATACTGAGTTGGAGACAGACAGACCCAAGTTTTGTGAGGCATAAGATATACAAAATCTTGATGCTTTTACTAAAGAAAAAGAAGACAAAGTTAGTGGACATAAAATTGCTAGAGTCCTTACCCGGCACCTTGGAAGAAGGCTTGCACAAGTAAGGATCCCTGAAACAAAAGCTTCACCAGCCTTGTCTGACATCTCACACTAACCAACCACCTTCAAGAAAGTCTGGATGGAGGGAAATGCAGTGGAAAGGGACAACAGCCCCTTACCATTATAGGGTCGTTCCTATCCATCATTTCTCCCTGGTTCTATGCTGTGAAAAGCTGGGGAAAGGAAGAAAATGAAGGAGAAGGCGTTCCAAGCTGTCATCTTAAGACCGTGCTGGTTAAAAATAGAATCCCAGCTGGCCTGAGGAGCTGGAGGAGCTGGAGGGAGCTGGAGGGTATTAGGCCTTACACTCATGCCAGTTTTTCTATGGGAGCAGGAATAGGCTGTCCTTAGGCTCCTCAGTACCTTTGACTAACCCTTCTGAAGAGTTGATGAGGGCTGCTCCTCTATCGGGAAGGCATTGAGTCCTGAGGACCACCAGAGAGAGCAGGAGCTGGGGTGGGGGAGGACTGAGTCCAGCCTCTTTGAACTTCCAGTGGAGAGTCTAAATATTATAGTCCAGGCTTAACCTAGAACCAAGTACAGGGCATTTCCTGAGAAACAGCACTGCACATGCTGAAACCCTTTCACTCACAGAACACCTACGCCTCAACCATCCAACTCTGTGCAATAGCCTGTTGTCAGATGTGAAGTCCAGAGTATCTCCCATCTGTTTTATGTTTGCTGCAACTTGGCAAACCATGTCTTGTGCAAACTTAATGTCATTGTCCCATGAAGTTCTGTTTGATCACCCTAGAAGGCCTGTCTGTTTGTTCAATACCTAGATGCTTTCTTTCTCCTGACAGATATTTGTGTCCCTCATTTCTCTCTTGGGAGGAAAACAGTATAACAGAGTCAGGTGACAGAGGGGGAGCTGGTGAAATGGTGATGCTTCCTGGTACAGTGACAGGACTTTAGACAGATTCATTGATTTCCTTCCTGAGACTGTTCCCTTCCACAGAGCAGTCCTTTCCTTCCAACAGTGAGGAAGGTGGCATTATATAAGTCCCCACATCCAGAAGAGAACCAAGAACTGAGCTCAGATACCTGACTCCAAAGCCTTCCCTCTCCGTCACAGGCCTTGGATTTTTAACCCCTGTAGCACAAACCAACTCGTGTTGTTTGAAGCTGGGCTTGGTGGTGCACACCTTTAACCTCAACACCAGAGGCAGACACAGGTGGATCTCTGTGAGTTCGAGGCTAGTCCGATTTACATAGTGAGCTACAGGATAATCAGACCACACAATGAGATCCCGTCCCCCACAAAAAAAAAAAAAAAAAGTGTAATGTTATACAGTAGTTTCAGTCCCAACTGTCTAACAGGAATGATTACATTACATTCATAACACCATCTCAGAACTAAGTAGAATAATGAGCATGAAATAGTGAAATAGTTCATCATTGAGTCTGGCACACAGCATGATAAGGGATCTAGAGAGACCTCTCAAATGCCCACAAGTTAAATAAGGTCTTAGGGCCTGAGCTTCGTGATACCGAGAAATGGTGAAAAGTGTGGAGGGTGGAGTAGGGGTGGGGTGATAAAAAAAAAAAACTGTGTATGTTTACATGGCTGCAAGTCCACTTGTGCATGTGATTGCATGTGTGTATATGGGTGTGCCTAGCATACATGTATGCTGGCATGTGGAGATTGGTCAACATCAGATGTCTTCCTTCAGGAGCCACCCACCTTGTTTGTTGAGACAGGGTCTCTCACTGACTTGGAACAGTAGACTAACCAGAAAGTCATAAGTGTCCCTCTGTCTTCACCTCTTCAAGGCTGGGACTGAAAGCATGTACTTCCACACCCAGACTTTTAAATGTGGGTTCCCAGGATCTAACTCAGATCCTCATGTTTGCACAGCAAGTACATTATCAGCTGAGCCGTCTCCCCAGCCAACCTGGAACCTGCTATGTCAAAGTCTGCCTCTGCCTTCCAAGTGATAGGATTTAAGGTGTGCCACACCCCCAACCCCAACTTGTTAAAGACATGGAACTTAGTAGGAAGTCATCGGGTCATTGGAGGCATGCCCACAATGAGGATATTGGAATGCCTGCCCCCACTTTTCTTTTTGCTTCTTAGCCATCATGAGGTGAATAATTTTGCTATATCACAGATCTCTATCATGGCCCTTCCACAGCCTTAAAGCAGTGGGACTGTTTAGATGCTCTTCAGTTTAATTAATGGACCCAAACCTCCAAAACTGTGAGCTAAACCAAGTTTTCCTCTTTATAAGGTAATTGTTTCAGATAATTTGTTACGGTAACGGGAAACTGACTTACACAGATAGCCATCTACAACAGAAAGGGATAGACTCTTAGTTTAA